TAGGACCCAAGCCTCAGTTCTTCATCATCATGGAGTACTGTGAGAAAGGAAGTCTTCGCCAGGTTCTGGACTCTGACCTCACTCTGACCTGGATCAGGAAAGCTCACATGTGTTTGGATGCAGCACGAGGACTCTATCGGTCAGTGTGTCTGCTTTATTACAGATTCTAACCTAAACTCCAAACAAGTTGGGACCCTGTGTAAAATGTAAATGAAGACAGAAGGCAACGATCTGCAGATCTCATCAGGGTCAGAGTTATTTTATCTACAACAGCACACAGAAAAAGTTGGAGGCTGGAACAGTAAGTGGTGCTACGAGGAAAAGATGGAGGAACATTTTGCACCTAATCGGGTTAATGAAGAGGCGAGGGACCATCCCGCTCGTTATCAGTGCTTCGTTCAAAGCCTGCGTCTCTGATGGGTTGGGGATCGTATCAACGAAACTGGCAGCTGGCACATCTGGAGAGGCTCCATCAATGCTGAAAGGTATATACAGGCTTTAGAGCAACATATGCTCCGTCCAGGGAAGGCCTTTATGTTTCTGCAGGATGATGCTGAACCACAGACTGCATTCCAACAGCACGGCTTCTCAGTAGAAGAGTGCAGGTGGCGACGCGGCCTACCAGCTGAGAACATCTGGAGCATCGTGAAACCAAACAGAACGAAGGAGACCCGGGAGTGTTCCTCTCCCAGAAGTACGGCAGCCTCAGTTCACACAAAGTTACAGGTTGTTGTTAAAAGAAGAGGAACTCTACACAGCGGGAAACACGGCCCGACTTTTAGGAGATATGTTCCTGCCCTCAAGTTCAAAATGAGCCAATACTTTTTCTTTGCATTGTAAAGTTTCTCAGCTGAAACCTTCGATATGTTTTCTAAGTTCTGTGAGTAAAGTTTGAGGTCTGCAAATCATTGCATCTTCTTTAGAGTTGGGCAGCTTCACAGTGACCGTGTCGTCCATAGAGTCATGTTGGTGATGATGACTTTACCTGTCGTATCTTAGACTGCACAACACAGAGGAAAAATGGAGGGTTCACGGGTCCATCAACAGCAGCAAGTTCCTGGTGACTAAACACTACACCGTCAAGGTACTGAAGGCAATGCATGCTGGGATTCCTTGCAGCTGAACATATTTGCTTCATGTGACGGTTTGGTTGTCGTTTCCAGCTGGGAGGTTTCAGGCTGTCGAAAACAGAGACGTCTCTGAAAAGGCAGACGGAGGACAGAGCCGTGAGGTCGCTGTGCTACCACTGTCCCGAGAAGTTCCACGACGCCAGCTTCAGCTACTGCAAAGAGTGGGAGATGTACAGGTGAGACCCCACGGCTGTGGGTCCACAGAGGTGTGCTCAAAGGCCCTCAATCATAAACTTTCTAAAAGATGGACTTAGCTTGTGGGTCTGAAAGTGAAGCTGATGTAGAAGTGACTTACATGTGCCATCGGAGCGAGACTCCTCTGGTTGGGGGTTTGTGTGAAAACAGCTCCTGGCTGACCTCAGAACACTTTACTGATTTCAGACCTGCTGTGGTTTGTCAAATGATCAAATTTCCTTTTGAACTTGTTTCAGTTTTGGAATCATCCTGTGGGAAATTGTAACCTGTAAGAATCCTTTTGAAGGTTTGTGTCTAAACTACACTCACTGCAGATTTAAACTAAGATTTGGAGTCCTCTCCATCGACTTCTCCTCCTGACGTGTCTTCAAATGTCTCGTAGGTTTTTCAGATGAAAAAATTTATCAGGAGGTGTATGAAGAGAAGTATCAAGAGCCGCTTCCTGATGACTGTCCTGCAGAACTGGGACAGCTGATCAACGAGTGCCGGGCCTACGACGGCTTCCAGAGGCCATCAGCTGGAGGTGAGTTCAGTTACTCTGTGACTGAGTACATGTGATTACTGTCACGGTGAGACTGAAGTTTCTGTTCATTATTACAGTCTTGATATTTTCTCCTGTGCAGTGCTGCTGGATAAACTGCGCAGTGTGGTGACACAACTGGAGGAACAACAAGACTGATTAGAATCATCCTGAAGAGGAAACACAAC